TTTTCTCAGGACTACTAAAGCTGGCGAGGGCTGGCGTCTTCTAATTCCACGTTTCTCCGAGGGAGCGGTTTTCGGGGAAGAAAGTTCCAAATTAGACGCTTAGGTCGATTATATCGCACAGTACGTGAAACGGCCGCCACGGCCGTAAAGTGAAGAAGCAGAGTAAGGATCCCGGTACGAAGAAGAGAGGGAGCTGTTCGTTTCAAACCTGGTCGCAGTTGCGCGAATCCTTTCGCGTCGAGAACACTGTCCTCGTCTTTTTCATTTCGAGCGCGAACCTGTCGCTGCACGCGTCTGGAGCGTCTCTTGTGTTATCGCTTCTATAAGTTTCTTAGCCCTCTCTGTGAGTGGTCTAGTCAGAGCCACGTCGCGGTGATACGTTCCAAGTGAAAATAAATCAACCCCGTGAGATCGCGATTCGACTTGCTCAAAGACACGAAAATGTTATCTTTTCCAAACAGCACACAAGAAAGGTCAATGCGAGTCTAAGGCAGGATGTAGATAGCCTATGCTTGTAATTTATTAAAATGTGAATTTATATACCGGTTTTTTGTTCACATTTGTCCTGCGCGCCGGTTTCTTTTCGGACGTAACGCAATTTTCAAATCGACAAACGATTTGCAATTATATTTATAAATGCTACATTTTAGCATTTTTATATGCTACATTATTCTTATTGCGAAAAATAATTACCTCAGCCGGGATTCGAACCTGAGACCCCCCTCAATCCGTGACGGGCGTCTTAGCCAACTGGACCATTGAGGCTGTGATAATATCATTCGCAATAATTGGTGCAATACTTAAACGCTCTCTTACAGCCCCGCGTATATAAACAATAGAGTTAAAGTAGGACTCTCGCGAACAACATTATCTTTTCCATTCGTATCTTTATTCCTACGGTGCAATTACGTCCCAACGTGCCTCCTTTTTACGCGATCCTTTCACGCCCTTTAACGAAAAGTCACACCTCGTGACTTAACGTCGTGCTTCTGATTTCTTGAGAGTTTCTCACGTCTTGGTGAAAGGTGTCCTGTGGCGTGGATCGCCACCTTTAAACAGGGGTTGCCGCGTAGCGTAGCGGCTGGCGAGTGCGTGGCAAATGGTTTCTGCAGGGATCACGGCTGACGGATTTTCAAGCGGAACTCCTCGCAGGCAGAATGCAGAACGCGCGAGGTCCCCGAACCGGCCCTATTGATTTTAGAGAACCTTCCCGGCGAGGGGGGGGGGGGGGAGGAGAGAGAGACCGTCGGCAATTCCGAGCTTCTCTCCGTTCCCCTCGTCAAGTTTTCGAGAAGGGTCACCCCGTAATTTGAATATACGGCACCCTTCTGCGCGCTCGCAACCCCTCCCGGCCAATTGCACGTTCGGCATATTTCGTCCACCGTGCACCGTTCGTTCTCCTCGCGCTTCAAATACGCGGACGAGGTATTTCGTCGCGGTATAATTATCGCGGATTCGGGCTGCCGAGTCGTTTTTCCCGGCGCTAAAATTGAAGAATTTCTCCCATCGAGGAAACAATGCTGCACCCTCCGAAAGGATTTCTGTTACCGGGACGAAAATATTCTTGACGCATTTCTATTTCTCGCAACCTCGTTTAGTACAAAACTAGGACAATGTCAAAATGAAATCAATAATTCTTATTCCCCTCTATCGAATTAAAAAAAGATCGACTTACTATATTGACACAAGGGTAACGTATGTAAACGTAAGCTTATATATTCTTGCGTTTAGAACAAATTTTCCGTCTATCTTGCAACGCGCCAAGTTGGCGCCGCGATATTCGACAAAAGGCGATGCGTACTATCATTTTATTCGAGATTTTAGAATTGTTCATTTAAGATCGAAATATATCGATCCTATTTTATGATACATTCAAGTGTAATAGCATTGGATATGGAAAATTTTCCGTGGGTGTGCGTTCAGCGGGAAACGCTGCTTTGCAGCTGTTGTAAAGACCTTGAATCTAATTGGCGTACGCTCTTATAATTGTGGCGGAATCTAAGGACTCGAATCAAATTGACGAATTTTGCGACTGTCGCGAGGCAGCTTTTTCTGCTGAACGCACTCGCTATACTCGAGCGTTCGTCCACGCATCGTACGCTCGTGCGGGTTTTACGCTGCCGATAGCGTCGCTGAGATAACGTCGTAGTCGAGTAATCGCTCGCGAGCCGCGGCGCGGAATTAACGGCGACGGCGATTCGCGGATTCAGCGTTTCCGCGTTTTTACTCGCGGCGATTACTCGCGAGCGGGACGCGCGGAAACGGAACCGGTCGATCGCGCTTACGGCGTATCGCGCGGCGAAAGCGGATCGCGCTCCGTAGACGTCGATTACAAAATTAAGCGGCTCCGCGGGCGCGGCGACGACGCTCAAGCCGCCCTTTGATCGTGGAACGTAATATTTTCGCTGCTTCGCGCGTCAGCGACTCCCTTTGTGCGCGGAAACGGAGTTTCTCGATAGTTCGGCGGTTTAACTCGCTTGGAACTTCGAATTCGTCGAATTTCCCCGGGAACGCGGTGGCCCGGCCAGACGCGGGAGTTAACGTTCCTGTCGTGACGGCGACCGCGTGATTTTTGCCGCGGAAGGACCCGCGGCGGCTCGCGCGCCGGCGTGAATTCCCGGCGTAGGGAAATTCGCGTGCGGTTCGTGAATTTTCGCGGGGCCGGCCCACGATAATCCGGGCTTATCGATCGGCGCTCAGTTGCCAACTTGGCAGTGGCGAACTCCCGGAATTACGAGTGAAATGCTCCACATAGCGACGCGGTTGGCAAATCAGATCCGCTTTCATACCTTTGCAAGAGAGGATACGTCGAATTCCGGCTCACCTTCCGGTGGGCCAGACTTTCGCGATCCGACGACGACAATGTCCGCGTCGTACGTGGCTCCCCGTTTAACGCAGCGGGAGCCGCGTCCTTTCTAGGGGATGTCGCTCTAGACCTCTAATCGAGGTACAATGATTATTATTATTATTTCTTTTTTTTTAATACGAGCGCGCACCGTACATTGTACACTGTGCAAAGAATCGAAATGAGCGAACGACATGATTTCCACGTCGCACCACCCTTCCATTTCGTTGATCGAAGCGTTTCGCGAGGGAACGAAACTTGCAACGAAGGGTTAAGGGAAAAGAGTACCGCGGGAACGGGGTCGGACTTTTTTCACCAGCCGAGCTCGTTGTTCGAGTTTCAGGCTAAATCCCGGACGGAGTGGTTTTCACGTCGCTACCCCGACGGTCGCCAGGCTCGCCGTGTAGTTAGTTGTATGATATTGTAACCTACGCGCTTTCTAGCAGTTGGCGTTAGTTCCCCGCTCGCTCATTCCCTCGTTGAGATTGTCCTTAAAAACCTGTGGGGTCAGTGGTGCTCAGTGCTCGCGCCTAGATTTACCGCACGCGAGCGATTAGGAACAGGCTACTAGATTCGAGTATTAACTTTACTTTAATAAGGCGTGGAAACGACCTTACTGGCAATTCTTCATTGTAATAAAACACAACGTTTCGGCCAGCAATACTGGCCCTCTTCAGGTAACAAACTTGCAAGAGCGCCCGCAAGTGTAAGATTCGCCAGATTAGAGATGTGAAAATTAAGTTAGAAGTCAGAAATTTCCTTGTGCAATGTGTCTGGTCGTCAACGTTAGAAGTCAGACATCATTCTTTGTTACTTGAACTTTATTATATACTAACCTTTTAATTAATTTTGATTGTCTATTAATTGTTACAGCTTTTTTTCAATCAACACATTACGCTCTCTTGCGCCGTATTTTATATATCACCGGCTCATAACTGCTTTTTTTTCTCCTTTATTTTAACGCCAATGACTGCGCAATTCTCTAATAATATTCAGTTTGTAAATCCATTTATATGGTAAAAGCGATGACTATTTTTATACTAATGACTGCCAAGTCTTATTTATATATTTAACTCGCGGACTATGTACTAAATCGTATTTATCTCTTTTATAATTAAAATCAATTTATCGAACACTAATACCGTGTTCAGGCCCTTTTTATTACTTGATTTCATCATACGAGCCATTATTATTTATTATATTATTATTTACGGTTGAATTCGTAATAAAATAAGTTTTAGTTTAGTACGAATTCAACCGTAAATAATAATATAATAAATAATAATGGCTCGTATGATGAAATCAAGTAATAAAAAGGGCCTGACCACGGTATTAGTTTTCGATAAATTGATTTTAATTATAAAAGAGATAAATAGTTTAGTGCTACAAAATTTTCAAAATTGAAACAAATTTCGAGTGGTGGGGGTATTTTGAAAAAGTAAAAATAAAAATTTTTTGCTCATAGTTTTAAAGTACTATTGAAACCATTCAACTTTCGTTAAAAAAACTTGTCTAGCTCTTGCACTCTCGTCAATATTCGTCCCGAGGGAGAAAATCAAATTTTCTTCAAAGTGGTATTTCACCATGTAAAAGTGCGCGTTCCTTATTTTGTAGCTGAGAAGCAACATATTCAACGCTCATGAAAATCGGTGTGTCCCCCACTTGGGTATAGGTTTACTTGTAAGCTGCCATTTAATTATTAACTTTGCTTTGACTCCGCGGTGGAAGCAGACAAAGTGACAGCGCTTTGGTGTCACTGATATCGGCGCCACTGATCCTCGAGTTGGTTCCGGTTGTAAATTTGAATGATTAATAGGTACGTTTTTATCGGGCGGGACAGAACGAATCCGCAAACTCGTGGTATAACGTTAATATATCGATCGGTGGCGAAACAATGCTCCATCGAGTATCTCGATTCGAATAAGTATATAGCATTGAACTATCTATAGCGCGGCTGCTCCGAGGAGTGCTCCAAAGTATGAGCGATCGTTAGGAGGATACACTTCCGAGATACCTCGCGCACCTTTAAGGCCGAATCAGACTAGCAATTGCAAACGCGGATTGGATTGGGATTGACGATTGTCCTCTAGCCAATGAGAGCAAAGCAGCCAGCGATTTAATCGACTCTCATTGGCTAGAGGACAGTCGTCAATCGCCAATCCCAATCCAATCCGCGTTTGCAATTGCTAGTCTGATTCGGCCTTTAGGTAGCGCAGAGCTCCGCTTCAATCGTACGGCGCGTTCCGCGGTAGAGAAAAATGATAGGGTCGAACAATCAGAAACGCCGGGCTTGCCTTTATTTGCGCGTGCAAAGACAACAAAGTGGCGTTCAATACAGATTGTTCTGTATGCGCGCGATACGATTGAATTATGTATAAATGTAAGTGGTTAACGTTCGGTTCTCATAGCGGGGCGAGCTCGCGATCGCGATTCAGCGCGGCGATACGTCCGACGTCGCGTCGGTGCTGAGGCGCGATTTGAGAATCGCTGACACCGCGCAGACGGGATCCACGTATTCGGGACGCGACTGGGGTCGGGCGCAACCATCGGTGCGCAGGGTCACGTGACGGTGGGTCGGGGTGGGCGCAGCCGGCGTCCGGTTGGCCGATGCCGCGATACGGATCCCCCATCCGGCGTCATGCGAACAAAGAGACGAGGCTACCCCGTCCACGGCTGCGAGCGCTGCCATTAGAAAGTCGTCGGCAGTCGATGAACGCGGGAACTCCGCGAATTGGATAGAGAGAGCGAGAGGGAGAGAGGCAAAGAGAGCTGGCCCGTTCGGTTCGTACGCGAGAAAGTTTATTCGGCCGCTCCGCCGGGACTCGATGCACAAAGAGGGAGGAGAGTGAGGAAAGGCTCGGACAGGCACCCCCCGATCGATTTTCGAGAGATCGACTCGACCGGCCGCAACTCGGATCGTCCCGTAGACCCCGAATCGGGCCCCGCCGAATCGCCGTGATCGATCCGGTGAAACGAAGCGCGACGGTGGTGCATCTCTCATCCGCGAACGGCGAGAGGGACTCGTCGCGAGGACGAGTCGATGACGCAAATTCGGAGGCAGCGAGGCGAGCACTGAGAATCGACGTGCGTGCGACGCTCGCCCGAGAGATCGATCGATCCCCCGCGTACATCAGTAACTGTGCGCCGGGTTGCATCCTCATCGACGAGGATTTCCGTGGGACGCTCCGGCGGTTAGCTGATCGCGCTGGAGGGTCGACGACGTACAACGAGCGCTATAGAGTGCTACGCAGCGACGTGGCGACGACGCCATTTTGTGGTGACTGGTACCGTGTGCTTCTTTCGGCATCAGCGCCGTCGAGCCTACTCATCGCCGCGCCGTGACCCGTGACACGCGCGTATTTCTGATCGCGTTCGTTAATAAGTGCAAAACGACGTGGAGCACTTTCGGCCTTTCGGAGCCTTGGATCGCGAGGGCAGCGACGGAGAGATAGACAGTGCTCGTGTACCTGAGCAGAATAAAGTGCGTCATCGGTGTGACTCCCATCTGCGCACCGTTAAACCCACCGCGGTAGAGAGAGAGAGAGAGAGAGGGGGAGGGAGAGAGACGTTCTGTTCGATTTTTCATCATCATCGACACCGTCGCCCTGGGTCTGACCCATCTTCGCCATCACTACTGACCATGAGATTAGAAATCCTGTCGGCGGCGGATTTTTTGGTGCACCTGCTGCGCCTGCAGGCGGGTCAGCTGTCGGATCGGCAATTGGAGATGTTCAAGTCATCGCTTACGGAGGTGCTGCGCCACCGTTACCGGGACCACTGGTTCCCGGACCGGCCGAATCGCGGGTCCGGCTACCGTTGCATACGCATCAACGGCAAAATGGACCCGGTGATCGCGCAGGCCGGCGCGAACGTCGGCCTGCTGCCGACGGTGCTGCACAGCCTGTTCCCCAGCGAGCTCACCATGTGGATCGACCCGTCGGAGGTGTCGTACAGGATCGGCGAGAACGGCTCCATCTGCGTGCTGTACGAGCGCACCGAGGCCGAGAGCGCGGAGGAGATCTCGCAGCAGCAGCACCAGCACCAGCATCAGCATCCGCACCATCACTCGCAGCAGCATCAGCAGGCGCCGACTATGCCGCCGCCGCCGCCGCCGCCGTTGCAGCAGCAGCAGCAACAGCAGCAATTCGAGAGCTGCAAGGACTCTCTCCTGCTGGAGCACACGCAATTCAGCGAGCAGATCGCCGCGTACGTCTCCAGCTGAATCGCCGGACTCGCCGCCGCGCTCACGTCCACGCTCTCGAAATGATCTACTAAGCGCACGTGCATCTCGTGATATGTGATATCCCGTGTGTTGCGTTGGACCGAGCAGGTCCGCGCGCTCAACCTTTCGTGGACTCCGAACGTGCGTGCGTCCTTCTCCTTGCGTTAATCTTCTATTATTTTGCCCTTTTCTCTCTCTCTCTCTCTCTCTCTCTCCCCCTCCGTTTTTTCCTCCCCTTCGTCGATACACCAAGAGTCTCGAGCGAAGAGTCGGTCCTCCTCCATCGCCGTCTTCTTCCTCCTTTCCCCCTCTCTCTCTCTCTTGTCTTCTACGGGAAAACGAAAATAAAAACAAACGGAGCACCATTAATCGTCCGTTGATCGTCTCGTCCCTCCGAGCGAGTTCCTGCTACACGGGGAGAGTCCATCCTTCGGGAGACGCGAGCTCGTCCACGCGCGCGTCGGTCGACTCGAACTCGACTCTAGTCTAGTCTCGCGCTTCCCGAGCCTCCTCTCGCGCACAGAAGAATCCCGCGAGTGCGTAAGAAACGGCACCTGCGTGACGAGCAACGTGTTCCCCGAGCGACTAGTCTGTGATTTAAACGCGTCCGATCGAGGAAGAACAAGAACGGAACGAGGGGCGAAGAGGAAAATCAGCTGTCCGTCGCGACGGAAGAGCGAAACGAGGGATGGAAAACTGATCGAAGCGCAGACCGGTCGGCTCCCGTTGATCCGACGCCGCTCTTCTCTCTCTCTCCTCAACTGTCATCGTTAACAGTCGCTCGTGCAAGGTCTCCTTCGCCGGAGAAGGATCTCGCGGCCGCGCCACAGCGAGAAACGGCGGAACGAACCCGGAGCTCTCTCTCAGCAGCCGACTAATTGATCTCAGCACACCTCCTCCACCCGCGTAAACCTCCGAGTGTCTCTCGTGACGACAGCAGCCACGCGAGGGAGGAACAACGAAGACCAGCCAGCCTCATCGCGCCCTTCCTCGAGGGAGTAAAGGAACCGCTCGTACATTTACACACGAGAAATACATACCCGAAAACACACCATTTCTCTGTCTCTCGCATCCTCTCGAATGACCAGCGTCTTTCTTCCACGCACCTTTCCGTTACCGTCGGATCTTGAATTGAGGTTCGTACACACCGACGAATATTTACGATTACGCGCAGCCGAGGAAACGGGACCGATCGCCCAGCGAATACCGCGGGACCGCGCAGAGAGAAGCGGATCGCCGTTTGTTTATCTCTCCGAAATTCTATCTAATACAAGCCCGCTGGTCGTCCAGTCACCCGGGGGTGCCGAGGAGAAAGCAGGCGTGGATCACGCCGGAAGGCATGTGCGATTAGATTCCAACAATTCTCGCGATGTATATAAACCTTTCCATTTCTCCATGTTTTCGCGTCGGTTTGTACGTTCGTCGAGTTCAGAACCCGCGAAGGAATGGGACGAGAAGTCGGTCGTCCCCCATTCTCATTGTCGACAATTTTTTTCGAACCTCGCACTGTCAATGCAGATTACCACCGAGCCACACACGCGCGCGCATACACACACACACACACACAAGATCCCCATGAATACATTCACACGAAACTAAAGACACGCACTGACGAATTTTGCACAAATGATAGCGATGGATTTCGCCGTGGATCGCGCGGCTATCGTGAGGTGACAAAATCGCCGGCCGTCGATTCATCGAATTTGGTCTTCGTTTCCCCGCGAATATCTGTAACGATAAGAGTACGTTGAATTCGCAGACGGCGCCGTCACGTCGCTTCCGATTATTCTGGGAGAATCGAGCGTAGGCAGATTCCCGCCGAGAGCGGCGGCGCGATAACAAGGCTCCAAATTCGATGTGAGCAATTGCGAATTTTACTCCTCGAGAACGGCTCTCGGTAAGGACGAGTCCTCGGCGTTTTGCGCTACCCCGATGACGATTCTCGACGGTACAATTCGCAAGTACAATTCGGTAGTTTGAATGTGCATACGCAACACACGGAACACCTCTGGACACACACACGTACAAATTTTTTCGCGAAAGCGCGTGAGTTATATGTAAATGTATATACATACATATATATTGTACATATACATAGTATGTGTATATATATGCATATATAAATATATATAAAAGCGTTATGTATGTAGAGCATTGTGTACATGCGCGGGGGCGAAGGAGGGAGATCGGTGGAGCCAGGTCGCCTCCGGGCGTGTACATAACCGACGAATTGTATATTATATCCTTCGCGTGAGAGAGAGAGAGAGGGGGAGATGGAAGAAAGCGGAGAAAACACGACGGACGTATAAAATTGCTGTGATTTTATCCACGGGAAGGCACCCGGGCGTGTTTTTATTATGGAGAGTCGGTCTCGGATAGTGAGTCGCTCGATGCGCGATTGCGAGTGTTTCTCCGCCGATGTTTCGGGAGTGACCGCGCGAGAGAGGGAATGATCGAATGCGTGTGCATGTATGGCGCTGTCCCGCTCCGGCAATAATAATCTAGCACGCTCGATTAATCACGCGTCTGCTTCGTGCCCTCGCGGCATCGAGATCTGTTCGATTACCGTTACTTGACGAACCGTACGGATTCGCGTTGATAATGTGAACAATATTCGCGCGGTTGACGGAATTATTTATCGGTGCTTTTTTCACCCGCGAAATTCAAACCCGATATTCCATTGCGCGTGAACGTTTCTGTTCAGTTTTCTTTTTATTTTTCGGTTACGCGGGAATGGAGGTGAGAGTTTATGAGTGCAAGAGTAAAGGAGTGTGTGTGTTGTGTGTGTGCGCGCGTTTGTGTGTACGGCGTTTGAATGACGAACGAAAGATCGAACGGCTGAGAGAGGGACGGGGAGGAGGGAAAGTGAGAAACTATCGTGTTCGGCGTCGAAACGAGAAAAGGCTCTGTTGTACGTAGCAATTATAGAAACCATGTCTGTGATTATACTAAGAATAGAGCGACAATATAAGCAATTTCCGTATATAACGACCTAAACGCGAGCGGCGTGTGCGCTTACTATACATACCGGTATGTAAATGGTACATATACTGTGTTATACATACACGTGCAAGAATTTTATCCGCGCTTCGTACGTTTTAATCGGGTCGCCGCCTTCGGAGTTAACAGACCCGCGTCTTTGCGTTCCGAGCGGTTTGTCCTCCTCTCGTGCGTCCGTAGAAATCGCGCGGAATCGAAATTGAGTAGCGTTTCATCGGAAGGGATCCACATATTCTCGCGAGCACATTGTCATCGAGAGCGAACGGTGCGAATTCGTTTAAAGCGTCGGGACTTAAGGCGACTCGTTTAAAATTGCTGAGCGCGCTTGCGAACGGCGGAAGGACAAAATCAACCTTACCTCGCTCATAATAAACCTGTCGGTCCTCTTCGGCTTTGACGTCATGTATCGAAGTAATCGCATCGCGACACGTACGTGCCGACGCTGCGTGTGTTGATTAACACCAACGCGATAAAGCGATCGATCCGGAAAAAGGCTTTCGTTGTTGCGAATCGCTATACATGACGTCAGAACGGAGGGGGGGGATTGTGCGATACGTGTCGGCGAGCACAAAAAGTGGAATAGATATTATCGTTTCCTTCAGTTCTTTTTACATATTGGGGAAACACATGCTCCGATCGTCCATATCAGTGGCTGTAGAACACCAGCGATCTCGAATATATAATCTGTCGAAAGTAGTGCGGGATGAAGTCGGAGAGAAAGTGTGAGAGCCGGGCGGTGAGATCTCCGCTGCGTCCTTCGATGATTATTTTCTTGTTGACGGCTGACAAGACACGTTCCTTTCCCTTTGTTTTTGGTTTCCACCGGTAAAGATCAAGAAGGGCGCGCTCGTCTGCGAGAATTATCCTATATATTTCTACATTATTCATTTGTTCCCACAAGCATGTATAAAAACCTATAAATATTGAATGCCAAGGGAGAGCAACAGAGAGCGAGAGAGAGAGAGAGAGAGAATAAGAGGATATGTTAGAGCGAGAAATGATAGAGGGAGAGAGAGAGAAAGGGAGTGGGGCGGAAGAGGAAAAAATGCGAGCGTATACATATTTACTTCGCGAATCAATTGTAATTAAACACGTACACACACGTATACACACACATATACATATATACATATATATATATATAGAGAGAGAGAGAAAAGAGAGAGAAAAAGAGAGACCTTCAGGAGGAATTTGTACAAATCCGCTGGGATAAATCACCAGCAAGTCTGTGATTTTAGCTTGGTTACTAATTCAGTATTTTTTTAAATAAAACGAGACAAAATCAAGATAAATCATAAAAAAAGAAACACGATTCGGCCCGCGAGAGAGGGGGGTAAGGGGAGTTCGCAAGGGAAGGGAGGAGAAAGTTTATGAAAGAGAGAGCGTGTGTGGTCAGACTGAATGAGAGTGTGTCTGTGTGTGTGTTTGTGGTTGAAATAAAGGAGCGAGGGAGCCAGGGTAGTGGAATCTTAGAATTAGAAGTTTACAATAAAATTATTTGTCTTAAAAATAAATTTCTTCAGGCAATTTCGCAATTCTTTGACTTGTTTTACAAAAAAAAACATAATGAATAGATCTTACTTACTTTACGATCGTTTTGCCTTTGTTCGAGGAAACGTGCAATTCAGATTATAATAACTCAAATCGCAATGATGTCATATCAATGTGACGACGTGCTCGAACGAATGAGAAAGGAGCGTGGCGTACCACACGTTAAAAACTCCTTTATCGTCGCGATAAAGAGAACAAGAATCGCTTCTCTAACTGTTTAGAGTGTCATTAACGCCACGTGGCACTAATCGCAATTAGCTGCTTTCCCTTTTAATCTTTGTCATTTCGCGCCCAGCGATGCAACAGAGAAGAAGACAATAAAGAATGTTAAATCTGAGCCGATTATCGTTGGTCAAACTGGCATCTTTTCATTGTTATTATAAAATTACGCTTTGAATCTAATTTACTGAATTAAATCGCAGTGAATCACGATTGATAATCTCTGGGTAATTTAAAGTCCGTCTCGAAGAATAAACGTATCGAGTGTCACGCTTCTCAAAAACTCGTCGTTGACCGTCGTTGGCATCAGTGACCTTTGTACTTCGACTTTCTGAATTTTTCTTCCCTGGCTGTGCGTGAGAAAGAATCCTGAATCGCGAAAGGAAGCGTAACTCTAGGGCCGGCTCTTCGTCGAGTGCTTTCCCTTTCTTTAGAGGAGTTATTTTTTTGTTTATGCGGACATTAGAAATGAGAAAGAGAAAGAAGGGGCGAATAAAAGGAAACCGATAGATTCTTGGTGCGGTAAAATTACAACGGGGGCTGGTAGTGAAAAGGGGAGGAAAAACATATGAAGAGAGAGGTAGAGAAAGAATGGATGGGTGAACGAACGAGCGAGTGAATGAAAGAGAAAATGAGGGGGAGAGAGAGAGAGCGTGAGGGGCTAGCAGGGGTGTTCAATTCGATCGAGATGGGTCACGGGTCCCACGATTGTGATGACAGTTTACTTATGTGAATACTGATTAGCGAACTCGTAGTGGTGTGTTTCGTTTAGCGTATTCGTTTAGCAACGTAGGGAGTGAGTGAGATAACAGCTACCTGTGGCCCCGCGAGATCCGAATTCGGCGACCCTGTCCAGCCTTGTGCATCGTTCGGAGAAGAACGAAGGAGGAGAGCGCGAATAAAAAGATCCATTCGTTTCTGTGCGTTGACTGCGAGCGAGACGCAAACTCGATGAATTCTGTATAAAATTCGCTTTACAAGTCTACATGCATGTCCATGAGTATATACACACACAAATACACACCAACATATACGTATACACGAATCGCGAATACTCGAGACACGATACATTACACACATACTCGAATCTGTAGACTCGTAGATTTACTATTAATTATAATGAATTATAATTATTATATCTATTATATCAATGTATAATTATATTTAGTTTTTAGGTTTATGATTATATTGGCTAATTATTTCCCGCTTGTACATACGCCGTGAAGCTCCAGAGAAAAAATTAAATCTTTAACAAAGAAAATCTATAATTTTTTCGACTGTTTTTGTACAGAGATAATAAAAACAAAAGGCCTCGTGCTTATGAAATTTCATGAATATAAAAAAAAAGAACATGTGTCCATCAATCTTCGCCGTCTATTATCCCCGATCACCTTACCAAGCGTGTACTGTTTCGTGCTGTTTGCGGTATAAGGTAGAAATATAAGAACGCCCTTGAATTTTTTCCATCAGCATAATTGACCGTAAACATCACATAAGATTCGACGTTTTCGGGTCTCCGGTCAACTCCGAGTAAATCAATTTTACCGTCTCCCAAATTTTATTCAGCATTATTGACAGACGTGCAATAAGCTCATCAAACATTTGATAATGAAGCAGTGCCACTTGCCAGCGAGAATTGCGAAATTCTTGGAATTATTTAAGACATTAGCACGTGTCGTATCTGATGTTTGTCAAATAAATTTTGCAAAAACGACGATTTCGCGAGTGAAATTGTTTACTTGCTGGATGCGAGGTTAAATATCGATGATTTATCGACAATTTCGACGAAGCGAGTCCATTTACATATGTCGCGCTATCGCGAACACTTGCAGAGCGATAAATAGAGCTTAATTTTTTTATGTGTCGGCGAACGCGAACAGGACTCGCCAGGATTACTTTTCAGTCGCGTTCGTGAGATTCTTAATATAGCCGTTCTTGGAAATGTTTCGATTGAGATAATATCAGAGAACACTTGTAGAATTAAAATTGCACGTCATACGCCAGAAATGTTTCTTATCACAGAGATACTGTTCTTAAACCTTCTATTAATCTCTCAAGTAATAAGAACTCTTGTGAAATTATTTGTTACATAGCGAGTGGAGAAACAGTTGCGACGTAAGAATCGGTTAAAAATCAAATGGGTCAAAACAAACCAAAACCAAACTCTGAGACTTAATTTAATTGCCGATTAATTAACGAGATAAATTAACGGCATATATTTATGGTTTTATTTAATCCGCGAGACGCGCGAATATTTCTCCCTGAAAAATCTCTTATTATTTGTGTTAATGGAAAGACGTGAGCGTTCGATCAGTCGAAGTTATAGAAAACAATTATAGTGCAATTTTGAATCTGTCGTCTTCATCACGAATGTAAAACTGGGCGGAAAAGCGGGGACAGAAGCCTTTTCTCTGCACGCTTTCTCGTGCGTTTATTTCAAATTTCTTGCTCCGATTATGACATTGTTTTCACGTTCTTTCAAGTTTTCTCGTGGAATGTTTAATTACTGAGCTGACGTATTGCGATGAGCGTACTAACAATAAGCGAACATTTATCGTGCACATTTCGCAATAAGAGGTTTAACAAAAATGAAAATTAACCGAGAGATAATTTGGCGTTACTCTCGACGGTTAATCGCCGATGGCTTAATCGAATCTCAAATTCTATGACGCAAAAGGCTGGAGAGGGATCGAAGTCTATATCGTTGCGACGCTATGAAGCGGAGGGAGTCGGGCGATGATGAGTAAATTCGATACGCGAGATTCATAGACCGCGTATTTTCAAGTTACGAGCGTCCGGCAAAACACTGGCCACGGATGAAGTACAAGCCGGTGAAATGAAACGAGGCGATGCCCACATCGGTGCTAAGATCGCAGAATCTGGTTCTTCTTGCTGCGTGCGCTCGAGTTACTCGCGACTATCAGCCACCGATGCGAATCAGCTGTTACAGCGTAACGACTGATGATTTCGCTGTTCCGATTTGAACACCGATCTTGTTGAGGCTACCGTTCTATGCTCGTCACGAACTTCCTGCATACTCGTACTCCACGGAATGGGAAAAGGTTAATGGACCGCCTAAAGGGCGCGCGTTACATCGTCGTCATAGTTGGCTTCCCTATGTTCGAGCGACTTGGTTCAACAACTTCAGCGGGCATTTTTTAAATTTCTCGAAGTCTCTAGCTTCTCGTCACGATGTGGAATACATAAATAGGAGACTGTCTCAAACGGCGAAGAAATCGAGGCGTGCGAATAACGGCAAATTGTTGCTCTCGAGGAAGAGGGAACCCGAAAGAAATAAGAAACCGCCGCCGCCGCCGTCGTCGTCGTCGTCGTCGTCGCTGTCGCCGTCGCCGTCGCCGTCACCGTCGTCGCCGTCGCTGCTGCCGCTACCGTAGTCACCGATGATGGTTGTCGTGGAGGTCAACGTCGGTTGTTGCCCCGGCCCTCTTGACGTCGCTTGGCCCGCTCGTCGGTTAGTGGTCCCCTTGTAAGTTAGAATTGCTGATTCTGTTCAGCACGAAGTTCCCTTCCTCCTCGACTTCGCCTCTCCCGCTCTCCTGCTCTCTTTCTCTCTCCACCACCCTGGGCATCCTCCGCCTCTTCCGCGCGACCTCCTCGCCGAGTTTGTTTCTCACCGAGGCTGCGTATCACACTTTGTTGCCTGCCAACCGCACGCCGTTCGGCAATGTTGCGTAATGCCTCGGAGAGACCATCGAGGTTGCACGACCGGCTGGACCGAGCTGGAGCGACAATAAACGATCCTCTGCGCGTTTGAGGGAAGAAGTCGGTGTCGCGCAGGTTTTCATCACTCGCGAACATCATCGAACACGTGCCGGTGTACGCACGATAGACCGTGTAAATGTAATAAGCTTTGTCTTTCATATTTTCCTAACGTTTGTCACCATTTCGTGCACGATCAGAGCCACTCGACTCGCCAATGCGACCGCGAGTCGCGAACGAAGAATGGACGATGCGTGAACGTAAGAAGCTAGCGATGCTCCGCGGCCAAAAGTGCAAAACTTTCCTCCTTGCAAGTCTTCCTTCCCGCTCATCCCTCTGTCATTAGCGGAGACTCTCGTTCTCGCTGTTTCGTTTATTTCAAAGGCGCGTCTTAATTGCGCTTATCGATTGCCGCGGCGAAGGGAACAGGGTTCTCCTTTCTTGTCATTCCGTCCACCTCTCCCTTTCCCTGATTCCCGTCCCTCCTTTCTCTCGTGCTCGCTCAATCACACGCTCCGCCTCTTATCACCGAACAACGGCGAGCCTCTTCCACCTTCCACCGTCGCCGCCGCCGCCGCTTTTTTCTCTTGCCTCGCTGCATATCCTTCTACCCCGGGACGCGGCGCATTGTCCCACGTTGAAGTGCACTCCGCTCGCAACTGCAACGTTCTTGCGCGACTTGCCGGGAAACGCCGCTCGGCAAATTGGCGAGTCCGACGTGTTTCAGCTCCACTCCAGACGAATCTCTTCGGGATTGTTCATCGGGCTGGACCAACAATCTCCCGTTGAAGTGTGCGCGGGAGGATCCCACGGGTTCCTTTACGCGTACGTATATAATTTATTTACCCTTTTCTCTCGCCACACCGCGCCTATAACGGCGAGATCGTTTAAAGAAAATAGCAAGTTCCTCTTTGCAGCTTACGCTCTTTTCCGCAAAGCAGCAAAGCGGGGCGAAATTGGGAAGTTTTAATTACCCCGCGACCGTACTTACGGGGTTAATCGGCCCAGGGAACACCGGCGGCTTTATAGTGCCCGGGAAGTTCGGTCCGCCCGCGGACATTAAACGCGGCGTTTCCAATTACGCTGCATGCATCTCGCGTCTCGTCAGTGTGCGCGGCCGACGTGTGCACGCGCGTGCAAACCTCTCCCGTTGATCCGCACGGAGTTTCGCAAGCCCGGCGGTCATTAACCTTACGCGAAAATGGATAAGACGGTTCGGTTCTGGCAACGTCGCCGCCGTACCTATAGAGACGCGCTGATATATATACCGGGTCGTACACATAAGTGCCATTAAAAGGTGCCGCGCGATACAGGCCGTTCCAGGTGTCGCCAGAGACCCTGTAATCAGAGACTGGCCGTGAGAGCTCGTCAAATTCCCGCGAGCGGGTGAGAAACATAGGCTGTCCCACTCTTCTACGATCGTAGAATCGCAGAGACCCCGTAATCAGAGACTGGCCGCGAGAGTTCGTCAAATTCCCGCGAGCGGGTGAGAAGCATATAGGCTATCCCACTCTTCTACGATCGTAGAATCGCGGAGACGCCGTAATCAGAGACTGGCCGTAAGAGTTCGTCAAATTCCCGCGAGTGGGAGGGAAACGTAGGCGCTGTCTCGCTCTCCTACGATCGTAGAATCTCGGATTACAGGGTCTCTACGATTGACGACAGGGTCTCTCGCAAGAATATGACGAACTCTTATGGCCAGTCTCTGATTACAGGGTCTCTAGGTGTCGCGTACTTTGCGCGCCGGGCACAGGGGACCGTTGGAGGCCCGCATTGCAGCAGGCCAGGGAACGCGTTCCCTTACGACGCGTGTACCGAAACAATAGTAACGAGCTCGGAAGGGATATTTGCGTCCCAGTTGGGTAAACGGTAATGACTCGCACGCGTAACGCTGTAATGAACAAACATTCTGCAGCGTCGGCTAAACTTCAGCGTGTACGCGGGATGCGTTTGCGCCGAACGTACCTAACGCCTGAGCTTCGACATATGACGAAGCGCGTATAATGAGATAACCGGCCTTGTAATGAGATTATCACTGTGCGCGACGCGCTACTGGCTCTCCTAAGGTAGCTCGGCGGCGACGGGAGACAATTATCTTTTAAACGCGCACGATCGTCGTGACGGTTAGGCTAACGGTACAAGATACGTTCTATTACTAGCCAACCAGTGGAAAATAACACCGCTATCGGTAATAAGTTCTAGCTTGCTCCAGTTTAAGGTCGTTATTAAAGACCTCCTCGCCGCTCGTAACGAGGCGGCCGATAAGGCTAGGTGCGTGATAATACACGACGATCGCCCGTCAATTGTTGCGTTTCGAAAATGTAATCGCGTTATAATCTACGCTGAGCCTCGTCATCGCGCACGGATTAACATTCTCCGTTCTTTGCGTCGTAATTCATCTCGCAATCGGAATATTGTTGGGTGATTTGCGATAGTCCCCCGGTTAGAATCAAGGCGCGGTATCAATAGTCTCAAATGAGGTACGATGATTTACGAAAGGCGATTTAAACGTCGATAGTATTTGCGTATCTTGATTTATGAATTATATTAGAGGCGAGAGAATAAGCGAGCGGTCTCTCGTAGCGATGTTGATGACGAAATGAACGAGACTCTATTCAGAAAGATTC